TATCTGAATCACTTTGTGGTACACCTGATATTAACATAATATTGTAAATCAACTATATTCTAATAAAATTTTTAAAAATGAACATGAAAAAAACACAGCAGTAATGCTACTAATTGGGCTCCACTGATGCTCTCACTAATTCTTTCCCAAGGAAGTCTATATGGTCAAGAAATAACTAATGCCCTTGATGAGGAAGGCACCTCCTGAACATTTGATTCTCCTGAATACTGGTTCCTTTCCTATCTATACTCAGGTGCAGAATCTAACCCCTTCCAACACCTCCATTACTCTCACTCCATTCTGTCTTTCCTTGGACTGTTGCTTGGTCTTCATGCTGCTACCCTCACCACCATGCAGGCTAGTCTCCAGATAGCAGTCAGTGTGGTCCTTCTAAAACAAAAGTTCGATTATGTCACTCTTCTGCCTTAAGCTTTCCATAATCAATTAAGTTTAAATTCAACACATACACATTACTATGTATAAAATAGATAACCAACAAAGACCTATATAGCACAGGAACTATACTCAAAGTCTTGTAATAAACTATAAGGGGAAAGAATCTGAAAAAGAATCACTTTGTTGTATACTGAGACTAACACCACATTGTCAATCAACTGTACTTCAATAAATAAAAAGCAAAACAAAACATTAAATTCAAACTGCTTCCTCTTAAGAACTTGCTCCTGGTCACCCCTCTGACTACATTTTCTATCACTTTCCCCCGCTGCTCACACCATTCAATTCACCTTTGTTTCCTCACTCTTCACTGAAAATGCCAACTATGTTTCTACCTCATGGCCTTCATACAACCTAGACCCTCTGCCTGGATGCTCTTTTTCCATACATCTGTCTGGAAGCTTTGCTCCTTTTTTTCTGCTCTGCTCTGACAGAGAAGCCTTCTCTGTCAGCCTCCCTCAACCTCATCCTGGAAGGCTTTATCTTTTCCTTTATCTGGGTTTATATTTTTTCATAGTATCTTTCATCTCCTACACATTTCAGTCTGTTCTCCTATAGGAAAACAGAGGTTTCACTTGTTTTATTCATATAGTATCCTCTTTTTAACTTAACATTATAAAAACCCTCTACTAAAACAGTACCTGCAACATAATGGGTTTTATTAATGTGTGATTGAATGAAAACTTATACTTGATATTAAAAGTTAAAAATACATAGATGTTTGTATAAAACACATTAGCTTTGAACATGTTAGTTTCTCTTTATTATGTATTCCTAGAGCAATACCTCCTTGACCCAACATTTTTTAATGTGCAATTTACAGATTTTTTGGGGAACTGATTATTGTTGTTTTTTATAGTTACTTTAATACAATTGTAGCAACCATTGACATCCAATTGTGCTAACCAAATATTCACTCTTTTAAATCATCATGTGTGTTTTCTCATTTAATAATCATGATACTATGTATAAATGTACAAACTCATGAAAATGAATACAATTTTAAAAAAAATACATAAATACTGAAGGTGTAAAAATATTTTAAACACGTTTCTAAACTTAATGACTTCTGGGGGAGTTGGATTCTTTTGGGCCTTTGGATATGAAAATACTTCAAAGGGACAGGCGAAGAGTAACTGAGAAGATTATCTCTGTTTCAGCTGGGGTTGTAGGCATCAGTGTGGCCCCTTTTTAGAGTAATGTGGTAGCCCACAAACTGACCGTTGTTGGGAGAAATTATGAAATGTATGAATGGTCCACAGGAAGCTAAAATGAAGCTGTAGAGACACAGCTTCTGTATACCGTGACAATGTCCACTCTGTTCCTCATCCTCTCTTGAGATTTTCTGGTACCAAACAATGCCAAGTGCTTTTTTTTTTTTTTTTTAATTTTAAGCCTTGATAGCCACACTGTTCTCATCTTTCATCCTGTCACTGTTATGATGGCTAAAGTGATTTATGTAAGCAGGTGACTGAGGATAAAATATCCTGCTTCATACTGTTTCCAGAGTACCATGTGTACTATGGTTAGTTAATTAGCATTCATAGCGAATAAGTGAAGTGCTAGTTAGGGGACCAGTAGGTGGAGGGAATGATGTAGAAGTCACACAGGTTATGTTCATGAGGATTATCTATAGAAAGATAAGCAATGGATACAAACTTGTTTCCTCAAAGAAAAGGGCACCAGGGACGCAAAGACTCTAGGTAAGGCTGGGAGACAAGACTGGAACCAGCAGATACAGAGGAAGTGACAGATGGTTAAAAACAAACAAATCAGGAAGTGGGAAATTGTCTCCGACTGGGTCAGCCTGGTTAGGGCAAAGCTGCTCCTGAGGCTGCTACTGCTTGTGCTCAGGGAGCCCAGCCCCAGACACTCTCTGCTCCCTCATTCCTTGGATTCAGTCCACCTGGCCTGCAGGTAAATGAAGTGTGGTGGGAAAAGAGAGGAAGGATCTGTCCTTTGCCTTGGAGATCACTGCCTCAGGTTGCCCTCTTGCTGAAACTATATACTATAATTATAATAAAATGGAATCATCAGAAAAGATGATGGACACTGGGCACCCCAAAATGACCTAGATGACCTGGATTGCAGTGTACATATAAAATATACCACAAGAGAAAATCTAGGGAAGCACACTGGATATTATTCTATAAATTATATATATATAATGTTTCTATTAAGAGTATTAAAGCAAATAGCAAGAACAGCAATAGTATCACATAGGAAAAAACAAAAGCCATCAGTAGATGCATAGATAAGTAAATAATTAGAATATTCTTCACCACTAAATATTTTTTTAAAAAACTTAGGGATGGTAAAAAAAAGTACTCAATTTATAAATATTCAGTGAGAAAAATAACATTCTAAATTGTACAGCATAGTGTTAATTTTGTAACAAATCTTTATTGGAAAATAAACAAAAAGAAAATATAACAAAATGTTGATAATGGGTGTGTGTGCAAAGGGGAGATGATAGGTAATTTTAATTTAAAAAAGTCTGTAGTCTCCAAAACCTTGTATTTTTGTAAAATTTATAAATGTAAAAATTATAAAATGGGCATATATTACTTTTATACTGAGAAGATAAACTTTGAAGAGTATTTAGAATACCACGTGTCTGATTAAAATGTCAAATATGTATCCAGATGGATATATATGAGGATTCCTTAGTCATTTTTTTCTTGACATCTCTGAAGATATACAAAATTTGGAAAAACAGCAACCAACAAGCACTAAATCTCTCAGGACAATACAATAATCACATGCAGAATCATACTATATATAAAACTTATCTTTGACAGTCCATAGCTTATCTCTAAACAACATATGGCCTTTTTCTATTTTATTCCTCTAGTTCAGGGAAGCAGAAATTCAATTACAGTGAGGGCACTTAATTTTATTTCTAATTATAGTTAATAGAAAAACCTATTGCCAAATGTTTTAATGACGACACTTGTAAATTTTATAGCCTGCCACTTCTCAATTAAAAGTGTTATAACTTCTAAGGACAAGCTTGTAAGAATGTATTACTTGTGTGTATACTACTTATCAAATCATCTGTGACTAATAAAACTTGAGAAAAGGAGAGGAAAGGGTATTCGTTTGTTCAATAACATACTTGTCTTACACTTGCCAAACTCCTCTTAGGCAATACTCTGTATGCTCAGAGGGCCATGTGTTTAACTGTAAAAATCTGTCCGATTTTTAGGATTCAAAAGACATCAATCATTTCCGTCAACAAGGAAAGAATGAAGGCTGAGTGGCTCTTCTATCATTAGGAAAAGATGTGCTCAAAAGGCAAGAACGTAGTCCAGGGAGAGCTAGGCAACTATTCAGTTCAGTTCAGTCGCTCAGTCGTGTCCGACTCTTTGTGACCCCATGAACCGCAGCACCCCAGGCCTCCCTGTCCATCACCAACTCCCGGAGTCCACCCAAACCCATGTCCATCAAGTCAGTGATGTCATCCAACCATCTCATCCCCTGTCGTCCCCTTCTCCTCCTGCCCTCAACCTTTCCCAGCATCAGGGTCTTTTCCAATGAGTCCAGCTCTTCACATCAGTTTCAGCTTCAACATCAGTCCTTCCAACTATAGGTTACAGGAAAAACAGAGTTCCAGACAATAATGTCACTTCTCCTCCCCTACTTTGGACTGGAATATTATATTTTTCACTTCATGTGGTTCCATGTGTGCAGTAAGACATTATGTAACTCAGTCTCAGCCTTGCAATATCCACTACATACTTTAAAGAGGCCATGGTTAGTAACAGTCTGGGATCCATGAAGGCGATAGCTTCTTTTGGCTTTGGCAGAAGGCAGCATTGTATAATGAGGATAGGGTGATCTATACTCAAAGCTATATTCCCAAATGACTGCTAGTCAAGTCACATGACAACTAGTTCTTGTTTTTTTTCTTAAGACTTTATTCTAAGTGGACATCAAAACTGCTGTATTTGGACAGTTCCATGGGAGATGGTGAAGGACAGGGAAGTCTGGCGGGCTGCAGTCCATGGGGTCGCAAAAGGTCAGCCAAGAGTGAGTAACTGAACAACAGAAATGGGTGGAATGGAATTTTCCATGCTTTACTCCTGATTTATTATTTTACACTAAGATTTCTGAAGTTTGAACTTCAAAGACATCAAGATACAAATTCCTGTCTTCTGCGTTCTTGATTGGGTGACCTTAAGCCTGTTACTCCAGAGTCTCGCTTTTCTTGCTTGGTAACTCATGAAGCCAGGGTGTTGGAAGAAGGCTTATAGATGACCAGTTCTTGTGTCACCTCTGGCAAGGTGTTTCACTTTTTGGTTCCCGTTCCCTGCTTGTGAAATAGACCATGTGTGGCTACCAACTGCAGTAGAGGAGATTAAGATTATGTAGGCAAAGCTCCTACAACCGTGCCTGCACACTTGGCCGCTCAAGAGTGCCCGATATAATAATAATAATAGTAATAGTAGTAGTAATGCTCGTGAACATGCCCTAGATTGATGCGGTTGAATTATGAAACTTTGGGAGAAGAGAGGCAGAAACACGGACCAGGAAAGAGAGGTTCAGAGGCCGGAGACCTCCTCCCCGGCGGGGGCGTTCAGCCTGCGCGGAGACGCGCCTGGCCGGGCACCGCCTCGCCCCACCCCTGCTGGGCCAACGCGAATCCCGGCGCGGAGTTCCGGGCGGCGGCGCGGTCCCCGCTCTGGCCCTGCCTCTTTCCCCGCTCCCCTGCCTCCAGCGGTGCCAGCTGCGCCGGAGCCCCGAGAATCCGCCGCCACCGCGCAGGTTCCTGAGGCCGCCCTCACGCCACAGGTAGGAGCCGCGCGGCCGCCGCCGGGGGCGCGCACAGCTCCAGGGAGCGGGTTCCCGCCGCGCTCGCTTTCCGTCCCTCCTCCCGACGGCCCCCGGCAGCCGGCCGTTCCCCGCCCAACTTGGACGCAGCCTTGGCAGCGGCGTCGGCGGCGGGCACCCGCTCCCTGCGGCCTCGCGGGACCGGCCTCCCGGGCAGCATTCGGGGGCCTCCAGTGCATGCCTTCGGCCCGGATTCCTGCAGAGTCGACGCCGTCAACTTCGGCGCGCACATTTGCTGGGGCAGGTGGCTCTGGACTGCAGAGCCGCGCTGGCTCCAGGCCGAAGTTGGGGACGTCTTCTGCAGGTGTATCCATCTAGCTCGCCGCGGGGCCCCCAGTACAAGTGTGTCTGGTGACCCTAGGTCATCTCGCGCCCCTGGGGTTCGCGTGTGCTGTGGGATGACCGAGACGGCGGTGGCGGTGGGACCAGTATCCCAAACCAACCAGGAAGTGCTGTGTTCCGAGGCTGAGCGCCCAGCCAGCCAGATGCACCGTCCTGGGCGTGTGGCCACACAGCTGCCCGCTGTGGCGCCCACGAAGTGATGACGCCGGGGCGGGGCAGGGATGAGGGCGCAAGGACCTGGGTGTGTATCAAGGGGCTCCAGCTTCAGGCATGTGGGACTTAGGTCTCAGATCCAAGAGCGTGGAGCTTCAAGCCTAGGATAGGATTGTGTGAGGCCCTTCAGAACTTGTAGAGTCAGTCCAGAACTATCACCACGCCTGTATTTGCTCCTTCTCCTAGTTTCGGATTATTGCCATCTTTACTGTCTTTGTAAAATACTAAAGGCAAGTAGATTCTTAAGGAGCACAAACGTTTCTGCGTTTGATTATCCCTAGGTTTTTCCCCCGAAATAAGGAGGTCACTTACTTTACTTGCCAGGCCTACCGGTTACAGTTTATTGGCTATTTTTTTTCCCAATTATTTTTATTAGTTGGAGGCTAATTACTTTACAATATTGTAGTGGTTTTTGCCATACATTGACATGAATCAGCCATGGTTACAGTTTAGACGGCCCTTTGAGTCCTTTCTCAGGGCTTCAGGGAGGCCAGGTATCTCCAGACCTCGGTGCTATGTTAAATGGCTAACTAAAGGTGGCGCAATGAAAGTGTAAAGAATGAAAATTAATCTATAGCTCGAACTATTAACAGACTCCACAATTACACACTGCCTCTTTGAATAAGATTTTCTTTCAGTATTAAATATTTTATGATAACGTACAAGTGAATAGGGCACAGTCTTTTAGCTTGAATTTGTACACAGCCTTTAAATGTTGTTTTAGGATCTTTTCACTAATTGTCTGAGCTCCCTGCTTGTCTTCTCAGGACCTAGTATAACTCACAATCCATATGAAAAGTGTGAGTAGTTAAGGCTTTGAGAAAGGTGTGTCTTTAACATGTTTGTACCTGATGTTAGAGTATTTGGGAACCACGGCTAGAAGTGCTATATTTAGGCTTGTTGATTCGCTTACAACTAGGCAGTGGGGGACCCTGCTCCTTGGAAGCTGTCTGATTACTAAATGTGCATTTCTTAGTTAAAAATGATTTGTTATAAAATTCATTTACCTTTAACTCTTACAGGGTTTTCCATGTTATTTTATTTTATTTTTATTGTGTTGATACACATAACATAAAAATTTTCATTTTAACCATTTTTTAGTATGTAATTCAGTGGCATTAAGTACTTTCATATTATTGTGCTCGCATCACAACTATCCCTCCACAAAACTCTTCAATTTTTTAGAGTTTTAATAACATTTCAATGATAATGACTAGAATACAAGCTTTAGTTTTCTCACTAAGCGAAGTTTGAGTTCCTTCTTACATTTTTAGAGAAAAGAAAGTTGAAAAAGTATAACCAGACTGTGTTCAGTAAGTTTTATCTGCATCAGGAAAGGCCTAATACTTTACTCTGTGAGGATAAACTTGTGTGCTAAGTTGCTTCAGTTGTGTCCAACTCTTTACAACCCTATTGGCTATAGCCCGTCAGGCTCCTCTGTCCATGGGATTCTCCAGGCAAGAATATTTGAGTGGGTTGCCGGGCCCTCCTCCAGGGGAATCTTCCCGACCCAGGGATTGAACCTCATCTCTTAAGTCTCTTGCATTGGCAGGCGGGTTTTTTTAACCACCTGGGAAACCCAGAGGATAAGCTTGGGACCTGTTTAAATTTGTGTATAAAGGTACTGTGAGATTTAGCAGAAGTGGCAGAAACAGGTGAGGGAGTTTTTCTGTTTGTTTTTTGGTCATGCCAGTGGCTTGCGGAGTCTTAGTTCCCAGACAAGGGTTTGAACCCATGTCCTGAGCTGTGAGAGTGCGGAGTCCTAACCGTTGGACTGCCAGGGAATTCCCTAGAGTTGTTGTTGGTAGTTTCCTCTCCTTAATCTCTAACAGAAAGATGAAATTCCTTTGTCTCATTAGCAGCTCTGTAGCATGTTTCCAAATTATGCTTGAGCTCAGGTTGTGCACCCTTTTAATAACTAAAAGGAGTTTTGATTGAGCTAGCTCCTGGGTGTAGTGGTTTCCTTTCCACTCTAGATGTTTTCTAAACATTGATGGACCCAGAGGACCCAGTACATAAGATATGACCCTTTAAACTCTTGGTTTGAGGCACTGTGTGCATGAGAGAAGCTGTAGCTACGCAGGGCCTGGCTTTACGTTTTTAATTCTTCCAGTCTTAGGACCACAGAATAAAATGTATTCTCCCGCCAGGGTGTGGATAAATGTTTTTGCAGGATTAAAATGAGAAACTCAAACCCTAAATTTCTCATAAGCCTGTGACATTTCTGATTAGAAAAGGGATAGTACAAATCCTATCTCATGCGGTAGTGGAAATGCCTTCCAATGTGTTAGTTTCCCTAAATTCACAGGTCAGTGTAAAAATCTATATCCCAGATGTTTTAATGCTGGGTTTTTTAAGGAAAGTATATAGTAGGTGTTTCATAGTGTCACAGCTGCTTTTTTTTTCCCTTTGTGTTGTGAAACTTGCTTAATTTTTTAATTTATTGAACAAACATTCTGTGACAGAATACAAAATGATTTGTGTATTCAGTCAACACTTAAAGATACTTTCTGTGCACCAGACACTATTCTAAGCATTTTACACACATGAGCACATTTTATTCTCAAAACAACCCCGTGAAGTAGGTATGGAATAGTCCTACCAGCCCCTTTTATAGATGAGGTCATTGGAGGTACAGCAAGATCAAACAGCTAAACCCATGGCAGAGCTGGGATTCCACTGCAGGCATCTTGAACCCAGGGTTTTGGCACTGCTGTCTCATCAGAAAAATATAGCCAGAGATTCCACCCTCCTAACAAATGAATTTTTTTTGTATTATTATACCGCTGTCTTGTCCTTATCCTTAGGGATAAATTACTTGACATAATTGCAATAGAAGTACAACTCAGATGACCAATTCAATTCCTTTATTTTTCAGCAGGAGAAGGAAATGGCAACCCTCTCCAGTATTCTTGCCTGGGAAATCCCATGGACAGAGGAGCCTGGTGGGCTACAGTCCATGGGGTCGAAAAGAGTGGGACATGACTGAGCAACTTTCACACACACACACACACACACACACACAAACATGAACACATTTTTCACCAGCGGAAATTAAAGTGGAGTGTGGTTTTGTCAGGCTCTGTGAACACTGAGACAGGATCCTAGAGACTCTCTGCTGATCTCCTTGCCTCTTGATTGTGAGGAGTTTTGGACAGGGATCCTGAAAGGGTCTGTGGAGGCCAGGATGTGTGTATGGGGAGGCAGTATTTGCCTATCAGAGAGGAAACACTTCTGCATTTTAATAATCATTATGACCATCCCAGAGCTAATCTAACCCAGCCCAAATGAAGGCCTGGCCAAATGAAGGCCTGGGTTTTATCCCAGGTGGACAGAACAGAAGCTTGTGGCTGACCATAGGCCATGGACAGTCTTGCTGCTTAGGGCTCCAGAACCCCAATTCCTTCCCCAGCCTGTGACCTCAGGCTCCCCTCTGGATGAGAGGAATATTTTATTCTGTACTCAATCATTTTTGTGCACTTTTTGGATCTGGAGTTGGGAACCTTTTGAAAGCCTCTGACGCACAAAAGAAAATCAGCCAAGAGCAACAGGGAAATAAAAATAACTCCGTTTGGTCGGCCCTTTTGTTGAGAGAGGGAGAGACTTCTAAGGGCGTAAATTGACAAACTTTATATAAAGGACAGGAAAATCAAAGTTCAGTATTCAACAGTGATTTTTTTTCAGAGTAGGCTCTTGGAGACAGTAAGTGAATTTGGATGAATGAGAATAAGGAATAAACAGGGAAAAGGAAGGTGGTGGAGTGGGAGGAAGAAGCCAGTGCAGAGAGGAACCAGCACAGGGGAAGACAGGGTGCTGAAAGTTTTGTCAGTTCTTTACACAAGCTCGAGCTCCCATGTGATTCTGCATAACAGTCCCTTTGAAATGTCAAGTGTAGATGAAAACGATCTTTTCTTTGGTTTATCCTGAAGCGATTATTTATTTATTATTTTTCTGTTGAGTTAACATTGATTTATAACATTATGTAGGTTTCATGTATATTCTATTTCTCCTTCTGGATACACTGTGCTAAATCCCTGCAGTCATGTCTGAGTCTTTGTGACCCTGTGGTCTATAACCTGCCAGGCTCCTCTGTCCATGGGATTCTCTAGGCAATAGTACTAGAGTGGGTTGCCATGCCCTCCTTCAGGGATCCTCCCAACCCAGGGATCCAACCCACATCTCTTATGTCTCCTGCTTTGGCAGGCAGGTTCTTTACCACTAGTGCCACCTGGGAAGCCCCTGTATACACTACAGCCACCAAAATTTTTAGTTACACCTATCTCCATATATTTGATCCTCTTTATCCATTTCACCCTCCCCACCATCCCCCCCACCCCTCCCCCCCAGCCCTTTCACTCTAGCAACTCACTACTTTGTTCTCTGTATCTATGTGTTTGGTTTGTTTAATTTTTTTTTTTTTGCTTTTTAGTTTGTTTTTTATATTTCACAAATGAGCAAAATCATATAGTATTTATTTTCATTTAACATAATATCTTCCAGGTCCAGTTATACTGTTCAAAAGGCAGGATTTCATCTTTTTAGTGGCTCAGTAATATTCCATTGTAATTTTCACATTTTTTTAACAGTCATTTATTTTACAAAGTTGTTTAAATTCACTCTTTAGCAACATTTAAAAGGCATATTTAAAAATGTATTTTCCAGCTTATTAGTGGTCACTAAAGTTAAAGTCACCAGACATTCTCCTGGAGTTTCAGTATTCCTGGGCTTCCACAGGACTTCTCCATTTGGATCAGTAACA